AAAAGAGTGAAGTAAAAATTGAAAGAATCATAAACAGAAAATAATTGTACAAGCGTCAGATGCAAAATCATTCAACTACTTCTAACCAATTGAATAAATTAATTTTTATAACCAGATTCGAGAGAGTAAGAGCACAAGACAAATTTGTAAGGATTGCTACAAACATGTCGGACATGTCCATTTTCATTGGCTGCATGGTCGTTAAACATCAGCAACACTGAGACGGTTTCGAACCATCACATGACAATGCGTAACAGCAAATCTGTGTTCCCTCGTTCCAGATCTTAGTCAACCTTTGTGCAGCAATGTCAAGTGTAGGGAACTGCACTTCCTTGTCTCTCAGCGGTATCGTTATAGTTTAAAGTAACAACAGCCTAACAGGCTTAATAAACAAACCATTTCAAGAAACACTTATTTTGATCGTCTGTCTAAGATACGTCAATATTCGTTGTAAAATTTCTAATTCCCTCAAACTAATTTATAATAATCCACTTTCATTTGGTTTTCATTGAAGTCCATTGAATTTAGTTCTCCATTAACTGTAAATCCTGAATTTTATTTCATTCTCGTGTAATTTTGAAATGAATTGAAATGTCAATTGGGCATGAACACAGTGCCCCGCTATTCTTAAAAATTCCCCAAAACTGGAGATGGGTGGGGGGGGGGGGGGGGGGGGGGGAGGGGTAAAGGTGGGAAGTGGAATGAGTAGGGGTGCAGAAAATAAATCGCAATGTTAGGTTCATAAATGAAATGAAAATAAGGATATGAATTCACTACTCTTCCGCACCTATAAAGATTTATTCTCGTCAGCGGGATAGACCCGCTTTAATGGAAAACATAATAAAAGAGAGGCATATAGTTAGGAGGACGTCTGTTGTTTTGGTGCGAATATTTAAAGATCGCTTTCGTTCCAAGTAATATATTTGTGAGCATTGCAAATCGCGCAACCCCGATTAGGAAGAACATAGAAATCTCATGCGTTCACGATAGCAGTGGAAAGAGCATCCGTCTTCCTAAACGCTAGTGAGTACAGATACCACTCCAACAAATTGCAAATGATAGTTCTTGGTCAGAAATGGGAGATCATTTTGTATTTAGATAGAAGAGCCATGGGTCAGGCCCAAACATGAGCATTGAAATACAACGTTTAAGTAACGTTGCTTGACTCCTTGAAGCTGTTGCTTCAGCTTAACTGATTTTGAGCGCAATTTTCACTAAAGATGAAGTCATGCCAAAGTTTTGAGAATGCCTCGATTCCTTAATGCGTAATATCCACAACAAGAGCCGTTATGTAATATAGGGAAACTAAAAGCCCCATTTGAAATGTATTTATGCCCTTCATCTCATGAATATTTTCGTCGACACAATAAGAATGTTTTGACTTTTATTGAAAGTGTTAATCAATGCTTCTAGCAAAACGACGAAGCGTTTCTGGAATTATTGCCTCGTGCGTAATTATATTGTCGTAGAAAAGTATTTTAATGGCAAATTAAGAAGGAGTTAAAGGTTGGAATGTAGTGGTGTGCATTCAGCATGGAAACGTTCAGTTAACAAAAGCTCAAAATGTTAACCAACAATGCTAGGTCAGGATGGCCATTTGTGATTTGCTAAAGTTTATGCCTCATGGAAGTGAGAGGGGGAACGCGGTCAAAGTGGTAGAATGACTACTTCCTACCAGTCTATATCTTCTATATATTTACTGTATCCTATTTCAATATTTTATCATTTTAGAGGCGTTATGAAATTTGCCTCTATATGGGACACATTGCGATCATGATTCAAACGGTGTACACATTTTCTATTAATGTCTTCTTACCTCTTCGCTGTAATGCAATTTCGCTGTCAATGGACCCTTTTATTGCTCCTGTTTGGCTCATATTAGAACAGGGACTCACCAAATGACGTACTAACTGAACCATTCAGGCCATGCGAACTTAATGCTGCGATAAAACAGCTCAAGTGCAAAAATTCTTCTGGCGAAGACGGTATGCATCCGGAATTTCTAACTAGAATGGGACCAACAGCCAAGGAAACCATGCTGACGCTTTTCAACAAAATCTGAAAGACCAGTCTTGTACCTAACTAATGGAAAGGTGCCATATTAATACCAGTACTAAAAAGGGCAAAGACCATAGCAACTTTAACAACTATAGGCATATCTCCCTCACAATCGTGTTGGCTAAAAAATATGGGGAGAATGGTTAACAGGAGATTGATCTGGTTCCTTGAGACCAACAATATTCTTAGGAGTGAACAAACAGGTTTTAGGCCACAAAGATCAACGAACCAACAAGTAATCACTTTCTCCTAAACACATCAATGATGCCCTTGATGCAAGAAATACCCTTACGGCTGTTTTCGTCCATTTCAAATCAGCATATGACTCAGTGTGGAAAGAGAAGCTAATTCTAAAATTGGCAAAGATTGGTATTAAGCATAACATGCTAAACTGGATAAAAGCATTCATTGAACAAAGATCATGTAAAGTCAGATATGTAAATGCTCTGTCAAAATCCAATCTTTTACAAACAGGTCTTCCACAGGGAGCTGTCACAAGCTGCACTCTTTTCAATGTCTTCATCAATGACATAGCCGAATTGGTACAGGCAGTCACGGGCATCAAGTGCTTACTCTATGCAGATGATCTTGTGCTGTGGTATTCTGCCTTTAAGAAAATCGTTCAGGAGAGGACAGAAAGTGCCCTTAACTTTGCACTTAAACTACTACCAAACTGGTGCGAGAGCAATGGAATGGTAATCAACACCACGAAAACTGCATTCCAAACTTTTTCTTTGGCCTGTCACAGAATAAACCCGCTTCTTAGGTTTTGGCCCGTCACAGCATAAACCCGCTTCTAAGATACAAGGAAATCAACACCACGAAAACTGCATTCCAAACTTTTTCTTTGGCCTGTCACAGAATAAACCCGCTTCTTAGGTACAAGGGTACTATCCTAGAAAAAACCAATGAGTTCACATATTTCGGAATGACGTTTGACACAAAGCTAACGTGGAAAAGTCACATTGCTAAAATAGCAGATCGAGTCTCCAATAGACTGGATGTACTGAAGCGTCTTGATAGCAGCGTATGGGACTGTGCACGCTCAACTCTCAACACCACTTACAAGATGCTTATTCAGTCAATAATGCTGTATTGCTGTGAGCCACTCATTACAGCCACAGAGGTGACTCTGAAACCACTCGAGAAAGCACACAATCAAGCATTACTACTAATTACTGGGGGGATAAAATCCACACTCATTGATGCAATGCTCCTAGTTACAGGAAGCACCACAATACGTTCTCTTATCAAAGAAATCGCCTTTCTCCTATATGATAAGCTACTGCGCATTCCCATGGATAAGTTCTTCAGCACCTATGAGAATAGACCAGGACACCTGGAGACGTAATCTGGTTGAATACAGAAAGCCATAGAACTGAATAAAGAATTACAAATTGATGAACCTACAGGAGGAAATGGTGAAGACGCACATGATTCGACGTCCAGCTCTAAAGACAACGAAGGAAAGCCAAAGTTACTGGGAAGCAAGAAGACAGCTAATAAATTGCTATTAATTAACTGCTATAAATGTACCCCCCCCCCTCCCTTGGGGGAAGCTGAAGTTAATGTTTAAAGGCTAATGATAAATATCATAAAGCCCGCCATTTGAGCTAAATAAATAAATAACTTTATCCATTAATATTAGTTTAAATTGTTCCGTTATTAGAGTGTATAAGTTAAACGTACCTTCAGAGAAGTGAATGATCATGAGATAGTAAAGAGCGAATGTCAAGATCATATTGTTTAGTGACTTGTCTAATTAGTTTAGTGGGACCGATTCCAGAAGGGATATTTATACTCATATCAGAAGTGCCTATCGTAGTTCTATCTATCAATTATTCCCCTTTTTCATCCAACATTCTATCTTATTGAGTAACGTGCTAGCTTACTTTATTAATTAAAGTAGATTGTGATGAAGATTTCTCAAAAAACAGTCAATATGCAACATGGCGAGGGAAAAATCAAATTTGTGTGTTCAAAGCCTTCGTATGTATCGCATATAAGCATGATATAAGAGCGACATATAGGTAAGAGGACGTCGGCCATTTTCGTGCTTATATTAATGGTTCCCTTTCGTTCCAAGTAATACATTTGTGAACACTGTGAAACGCACAACTCCCAGTAAGGAAGAACGAAGAAATCTCATGCGTTCTTGAACCCAGTGGAAAGCGCACTCATCCTACTAACCGCTAGTGAGTAGAGAGGCCACTCCAACATTTCGTAATCGATAGCCCTTGGTCTGAAATGGGGGACCATTTTGTAATTTGGTGCGAAAGCATTGCGTCAGAGCCAAAAATGAGCTGTAAAATACATTAAGAAATACAGCATGTCCACTTGAAGCTGTTGCTATAGCTTAGCTAATTTTTGCAGCAGATATTTCTCTAAGAATTATACCATGTCGAATATTTGAGGAAGATTCGATTCCTTACTGTGTAATATCCTCTACAGGATCGTGGAATGTAATAAATATCTAGTCGATATATAATTGATAGAAGCTGAAAGTGCATTNGCAATGCGCCAATGCATTTTACTTTAGAAACGAAACACGCTACTGATTGTCACGCAATTTGAAAGACCTAAAGAGGGATACATGTCATAATAGACTTTCCTATATTAAATAAAAAATATATTTCTTTCTTAAATTGTGCTTTGCTTTCCACAACGAGTGTTTATGGATCTTGAATAGTCTGCTCTGCGGGTAAAAGTGTCGTGAAATAAAGGTGAACTAATTGAAAATTTAGTTTCAATCTACTTAATTTTATTTTACGCTGCTTATATTGAGTTATTATGAAAAGAGAAAATTACCTTTGCAAAGTACACTAATGTGAATACAGCTTTGTTTTAACTGAAAATAAATTGCAAGCGATAATCATTCGAGCGAAAGATTCTTAAACTAAATTGGCAACCTTCGGAACCGCATTATCTGTCTTAGTATCGATGGGAGCATATTCTTTCTTGTTGTTCAAACGCCAACTTAATTTCCCATTAACACAATTCAGATCCAAACTTCTGCCTTGATCTCTTGTTCCATCCACATTTTATTTAAGATGCAAACTTACCTGAACTTATTTGAGCAAGTGATCTAATAATGAACAGCCTATATTAAATAATGCGATAAAACTAATAAATGTGTATTCTTACTTTTTCTGCAATTGCATCACCTACTTATACTTAATCAACACAATTTGTAACGAAACACTCCAAATATGGCAAGTCAATTTAAGTATTTGCAACAAACAAAGGAGACATGAAATTGAGAAGAGGAATAAAAATTGATAAACAAGTTTTTGTTTTCTGTGCACAATAAAGCCAAATGTAGAAATAATGGGGCATAAAATTGACATAATCTTGAGAGTGACAGATCAGAAATCGTTCGACTTCTTACATTGGGTAGTTTTTATGAGCTAAATGGAAACCTAAATGATGCGGTTTTTTATATTTGTTAAGGTATATTGATCTCAAGTTAAATTATGGGACTGATGGAATAGCGATTGAATGTCTTCTGGACAAATAGCAACCTCTTTCTAATCTCAATCTTTGACAATATTGAGGCGATAGTGAGATATTTGTGAGCACGGAGAAGAGCTGCCAAAAGTCCATTATCATTGAACTTATTGGCTTATTTCAAGAGATCTCGGAATCTCGAAGAAGAATAAGTCGAAACTTGTATCAAGAAAATATTCGCTGATGGCATTGCGGTATAGAGCCTAGAATACGATCAACATGCATGAATTAGTGATGGTAAAATTGAAAATTTCGTTGCAATCAGGAAATTGTAAGAGATTTGGCTTGGTAAAGAATTTGGACTTCTTTTGTTGGGGCTAAACACAGGAAGCTATTGGATAAAGGCACGCATTTAAAATGGCATTGAGAGATGTCAATTGGACAAGACGAAACTCTATGCTTCATCTATATGATTACATTTGTTAAAATACTGTTGTCATTTTAGAGGTGGTAGTAGTTCTTCCGTATATTTCATGCTAATAAAAAGAAAAACTTGTCATTCATATCAATGCAAATAACATCAACGCATTTCTACTGATTTTAGACTGATTTAGTTTTTCCATCTTGAGGCGCAGATAAACATAAGTGCAATTCCTCTTTAAATTATTTGCTACTTTTGATTTCAAATTGAGTTGGGTTGCTTGGGGGATTAATTGAACTTTGCCAATTTTTTTCGCAAGTGATAACTCTCAAATTCTTCCAGACATCAAATTGGTCATGATCTGGTTATCTCAAAGACTGTTCATTGCGTTGTGAATGAAATTTTGTGGAGGTATCAATTAATTGACATTAAATAATTGAATACGGTGAAGACGTCTATAACTTATCCCTTACTGCCAGTAACCTCAAAGTCTCCTCAATATGTCTTCAAGAAAATCACCTTTCGTTTACTGGAACCTCGAGTTGACACCACATTTGAATGTCATTTTAATTTCATCTTGTCAATCAACTCAACACTGTACCATGTTTTGAGCCTATCGCAAACATAACAGCTTGATTCATTCCGCTCTGTCACAATCACTAACCAATATTCCAGATCAAAAATATTGAATTACGACAAATTGGCACTTGACTAATTTTGATTCCTCTCATGCATCGTTGTTCGAACTGAAGTAAACAAAAGAAATGGAACTGAAACTCAATGTGTCATGTGTCCGACATTAACAAATACCGAAATCTAGCAAACTTGGCTTTTTTCATTGTTAAATTAAATTGACATATATAGAGTGTTTCGTTGCAAATAGCTTTAATTAAGTTAGTAATTAACTAAGAAAGGAAGGTGCTTAAAAGAATTGCATGCCTTTTCCCAATAGTTCGAGTACGGTGTTGAATATCAACTGTTCACTAATAGATCTCTTGCCAAAATAGGCTCAATTTGTATTTATTTTTTCCTGAGTTTTATGAATGCCAGCGCATTCTAAAAAGACTGTATATCGTATGCATAGTTACGCAAGTTAAGGAGCGTAAAGTGGAAAAGAAAGCATAATATCACAACTATTGCAGCCTTTAGCAATTCCTCTTTATTAATTGATACAATATAAGATATGCTAAGTGGAAAATAGCGAGTTCACAGAACGTGTCCTGTATAGAGAATGGTTTGCATGAGATTGCTTATAAATTGAGGATAGTTAACCGTGCGCTGTACGATTATTGGTTGAGATATGCATCGAGTACACACTCTCGACAATTTTTAATGTGATCGAGATCCATTTGGAATACATCATACTAGTCCCTGTTCTATATTTATTTCAAATGGCAGGCTATATGATATTTATCATTAGCCCTTAAACTTTGACTTCAGCTTGCCCCAAGGGTGGTGGGTACATTTATAGCAGTTAATTAAAAGCAATTCATTAGCTATCTTCTTGCTTCCCAGTATCTCTGGCTTTCCGTCCTCGTATCTTCTTGCTTCCCAGTATCTCTGGCTTTCCGTCGTTGTCTCGTCTTGCTTCCCAGTATCTCTGGCTTTTTTTTGCTTCCCAGTATCTCTGGGTTTCCGTCGTTGTCTTTAGTGCTGGACACCAAATCAGGTGGGTCTTCTTCATTTTCTCCTGTGGGACACCGAATCAGGTGGGTCTTCTCCATTTCCTCTTGAGTGGACACCGAATCAGGTGGGCCTTCTCCATTTCCTCCTGTGGGACACCGAATCAGGTGGGTCTTCTCCATTTCCTCTTGAAGGTTACATAGGGGGCATGTGGGTTGAGTGTATACTCCCAAGGCTACATAGGGGGCATGTGGGTTGAGTGTATACTCCCAATCCAGAGGGCATGTGGGTTGAGTGTATACTCCCAGTCTGTGAAAGGGCATATGGGTTGAGTGTATACTCCCAATCTGTGAAGGGGGCATGTGGGTTGAGTGTATACTCCCAATCTGTGAAGGTCCATGTGGGTTGAGTGTATACTCCCAATCTGTGAAGGTGTACATGTGAGTTGAGTGTATACTCCCAATCTGTGAAGGTGTTTATAGGCAATCGTGTTCGGTACGTAGTCTAAACTCATCAACGGTTGTCCAGTACGTAGTCTAAACTCAGCAACGGCTCCGTGTCAGGTACGTAGTCTAAACTCAGCAACGGCTTCGATTCTTGGCTAGTCGGCTATGTCGGAGAGTGCCACTGTCCACTGTTTCTCTGTTGTTCGAGCTTTGAGTTCGTTGAACCTTGAGGTCTGGACTTGTTCGAGCTTTAAGTTCGTTGCACTTTGAGGTCTTGAATTCTCTTCTGATTATGGCCTTCATTGTGGGGAAAGACATCCCCGGTCCGTGCATTTCAAAATCGTTGTCCCTTTCTTAGCAAGTGTGTAAGCAAGCTCATTG